GATTTGATTCTCTCCCTCCAGCTGGATGTGAGAACGGCTCCTGGGACAGGCTCAGCTCTGAGACTCCGGTTATCACAGCAGGATAACAACTCAAAACCTCCATTAATTCTCCTTAGCAGGAAAAATAATAATAAAGTCTGAAGTGCTATTTTGGCAAAGCGAATTTTGCCAGCAAGAAAATTCAGTCTCTTGAAGTTTCAGCACCATGCAGAGAGCATCGCGTCTGAAGAGGGAGCTCTCCCTCCTGACCACAGAGCCACCTCCGGGCATCACCTGCTGGCAAGAGGAAAGCCAGCTCGATGAACTCCGGGCACGTATGTACCCCTCGGGGGGCTTTTCACAGAATCACAGAATGGCTCGGTTGGAAAAGCCCTCTGAGATCATCACGTCCAACCGCTCCTGTCTACCCCCTAAACCATATCCTTAAGTACCTCGTCTACCCGCTCTTTAAACACATCCAGGGATGGGGACTCCACCACCTCCCTGGGCAGCCTGTGCCAGCTTCTGACGACCCTCTCAGGAAAGAACTTCCTCCTTATCTCTGACCTGAACCTCCCTTGGCACAGCTTGGTGCCGTTTCCATGGGTAGGGGCTGTGTAAGGGTTCACTGCTAGGCTTGGGTTCGCTGGGTGCCGTGTAGTGCATGGAAGAGTGGAATTTAAGAGAGCTTTTAGGGGTTTTTTTTCATGGTTTTCTTTAAATACAGCTTGGCCTATGGCTCGGTCAGTCTGGCCAGGGTTTTGATTGTGGGGTGGAACCGGTATCGGATAAGACAATGGGGTTTTTTTATTCCTGAACCTGAGCAGTGTCAGGGTTCTGTAACTGCGGGAGCTACGTGGAGACTTGGACAGAGTCCAGTGGTTTTGAATCTAATGCTTGTGCCTTAATCTTGCCTCTAAAGAAATTTTAGGAGCTGCAGACACACCGTATGAGAAAGGAATATTCGACCTGGAAATAGTTGTTCCTGAAAGGTAAGCAGGCGATGACACCTAGAGAAGTAGCCAGCGTTGTGCTGCTCTCAAATGAGTTAAGTGGAGTCACGTATTTGCTGTAAGTGCTGCCTTTTTGGTTTTCCCTTTAGCCTCGCAACAAAGAATGTGGTTAATTAGGCAAGACCCTTCGTTTATGGAATGTAATTGGCATTCCCACTGTCTGAAGTTCTTATTTCACACTGGATGTCCTACGATGTGTGATTAACGACCTAAAAGCGTTATGATAAGATCTCTGCCTTATCCTGTTGTCTTAAAGCTTGCTGGAAAGGAGCTCGGTCATGAGTAGTTGCTTCTCTGTGGGGAGCTACCCAGGAAAGTACCAGTCAAACACAGCTGAAAACACCAAAAGCAGAGCACTGCCCCCTCTGAAATTCTGCGGGAAAGGGTTTCACTTAGCAAATGGGTGGGAGGTGAAAATAACGGCCTTGTTTGGGTGATGAAGCAACTGTGGTACAAATATAAATATAACTTTTTGTTTCTTAACACTTATCCCTCTAAGGTACCCGTTTGAGCCCCCCAAGATTCGCTTCCTGACCCCTATCTATCATCCTAACATTGACTCTGCTGGAAGGATTTGCCTGGATGTTCTTAAATTACCCCCAAAGGTAAGAGAGCACTGCCTGGGCATGGGTAAGTGAGCCTGAGGAGGATAATGACCTCCTTATCCTTTTCTTGTAAAAGCCTTATTGAATGTCTTTTCGCTACTGACTTATTTACGCAGGAGCATGGGGGTAAAGTTTTTGAGCGGCATCTCCTTTGTTTACAGACTGGAACGTGACCTTCTGTGTTCCACATGAGTTTCCAAGGTTTTAAGGATTGCAGTCACAGAGGCATTTGGTGGCCCCCTGAAAAGGGGCTACCCCAATGCTGCCCGGGCTGTGGCTGTCAGTCAGGCTTCCTCAGAGAGGCCTCAGCCTGTGTGGAGAAGGGCTCTGGTGTTTTTCGGGGGGGTTAAGTGCTCTAAGTCCTGAGACAGCTCGTGGGCAGGTTGGGTTTAAATGCTGCGAGCCCTGAGTTTTCTCTCAGCAGCCCATGGTCACATCTCTTTTTGCTTCATGGCTTTCTCACCCCATTTCCTTGCAGGGTGCGTGGAGGCCTTCCCTGAACATCTCCACGCTGCTGACCTCCATTCAGCTGCTGCTGGCAGAGCCCAACCCTGACGACCCTCTCATGGCTGACATTGTACGTGAGCTCCTCTTCCTCTCCTGTGGGCATGGGCTGGGAAGGAGCACTTTGTTAGAATTAGGCTGTGTTAGGCTGTGCTTCTGCTTTGATTAAGCCACCAACACGTTATGTAGGGGTGTAGCTTGGTCTGGAGCAGGCCTGGGGGCATGGCTGCATTTCCCTAAAGCAGCTGGGATGTGCGGTGCAGGGTTTATGCCAGCAGTGGAAAAAAAGATGGCAAAGGTCTCCTCTTCAAGCCTGCTAAACTAAAGCAAGCAAAAAGAATTTGTGCTTCACGCTGCGTGCTTGTAGTGGGTCTGGTCTGGTTCTTGGAGTCCTACAGCCAGACCTGAGTCCTGGCTTCTTGATGTGGTGTTTGTATTCAATCAAATCTCTTTGTCTTGTTCCATTTAGTCCTCAGAGTACAAGTACAACAAGCAGCTGTTCTTGCAAAATGCCAGAGAGTGGACTGAGAAACACGCGAGCCAGCAGAGGAGGGTGAGAACCTTCTGCTTCCTCAGCTGAGAGCAGCTCTGTCTTAGTGAAGTCTTTCTTGTCTGTTTGCCTTTCGCAGTTACTTTGTGTGGCTGGCTCTGGCAGCGTTCTTTCTCTCCTCCTCTTCTGCTCATTGGTTTGGATGTCTATTTAATTTCATTTTACTTGCTTTTAGGATAATCAGATTCACTCCTTCCAAATAAATGTGTTCATTCACAAATAATTGCAGTGCTTCTCAAAGAATGAAGGATGAGTGAGGTTGAAGCCTGATAAAACCCTTCC